CTCTTCATTATTTTACTTTTTGCCAGTCAATCGCCATTCCTATCGTGTAATATCTTAGTTACACAAATTTCCTTATAGTCTTTCATTTAAAATACTTGTGTATAACAACAGAGATTGAATAAAGCAAGTAAAGAAGTTGTTTGATCTTATTTTAGCAACTTCGCCAGGAAGGCCTAGATGAATGCACCTTATCCGGAATCAATAGTATGTATGATACTTTTTAGTCGGACCGTGGACTTGGTACATTTCCAGACGTTTCGCCGGCATCGTCAGTGAGTCTTGTCATTCTCAGCACCAACTACAACTCGTCAAAAAGACAAATTAAGTTAATCTCTTGACCAACTTTCTGTCGAAACGGTTGCGCTATCACTCCTCGTTCTGTCCTGATCAATTTCCTACCTTCTTCTCTCGCTCTCGTCCTATAACGATTTCTTATATGTTTATATTCCACAAGAGATATGCTCTTTTGGCGAATTTAACGTGGCGTCTGCCCTGCTATCTTACATTTAGAGTAGCTGATCCGATCCTAGCCTCCTGTCCGGATCTGCCTCATGTGCCCCTAGGTCTTTATTATCTTTCTGGCCATTGGCATCCCTGGGGAAAAAATTAAATAAACATGAGTTTGGAAGAAGGCAGAGCTAGTGATAACCTTGCCTATTGCTAATCAAATCCGGAGGAAAAAAGAATACAACAAGACAAGCAAAAAGGAGACGCCTGGATAAAGGATAAATCGTAAACCAGAGAAAAAGGGACCGCAAGGAAGAAGAGGGTGAATAATTTTCGGAAATAAAGCAGACGTTCTCAGTAATTGAAATTAGCTCGAATAAACAGCTTCAACTTTCGGAGCCTGATGTTTCACGTGACTAGGGAGAGGGAACGAGTCACATAAATTGGGCAATACGAAAAAAATTAGCTAATAATTCAGTTGAAATGCAGCATGCGACCAAAGATAGATTTCCACAGTTTGCTCAGGCTAAACGGGCTAAATCTAGGAGATGATGCGTGAAGCTAAGGCGTAATATCCACAAGCACGGAAATCAGATCCCAGGCGCTCTGCAGATGAGGCGACTTTGTACGTGCTAAGGAAGACTTGAGAAATGGACTTAGATTAAGAGTACACTTGGGCTGTAACCGAGTGAAATCGGTCAACAAGAAAGACAACAAACGGACCTAGGAGCCATAAGTCAGATCCGGACAGGAGCCTAGGGTCGGATCAGCTACTCAAAGGGAGAAGAGCAAGGCAAGTGCCACGGTAAATTCGCCAAAATGGCGCATCTCTTGTGGAATATAAACATGTCAAAGTGGTGATAGGAAGAGGGCGAGACAAGAGGATAGGAAATGGATAGAGAGACCAAGACAGAACGAGGAGTGATAGCGCAACCGTTTCGACAGAAAATTGGTCAAGGGATTGACTTCATTTGTCTCTGACGAGTTGTAGCTTGGTGCTGAGAATGACAAGACTCACTGACGATGCCGGCGAAACGTCTGGGTATTTATCAAGTCCACGGTCCGACTCTGGAAATTATCATGCATTCTATGGACCCTGGACAAGGTGCGTTCCTCTTGGTCTTCCCGCTAATATGGTCAAGTTGCGAAAACAAGGTCAACCAACTTATATACAATGATAGTAGACCGCGAACACTATCCTGGTCTTCATACGCTAACGCATGCATATTTGATTTTTACTCCTATGTTTGACCGCTCTTTTTCTTGTACTTTTACCTAATCTTAAATTGCCTCTATCTTACCTGTCATAATGCTATACTTTTTTCCTTTTAGCATGTTTCCTAGATTTTTTTAATCTATTGATTTAAGAAATACTTTTAGTTTTATATTATAATTCTGTTTGAAACATTTTTAGTGTTTAACTTTTTATCCTATCTACCCTTTCTTTGGCATTATATTTTCTAATGCTTATAAAATGATATGATCTCTGATTTTTTTAATAGTTTAGTCCACTTCATGAGGCGTCTCCATGGCCCTGAATTGAGCGGCAGACCGTACTATCCACCCTCCCCTGGGGGGATGCATGTGCTCATGCCTACCCAGGACTCTCACATCAGTTCACCTTTTGAGACTGAAAACCTACAACTAGAGGCTGATCTTCAAGCCAAGGTGGCCAGTCTCCGCTCTCTTTCTCTACACATAGGTGATGAGGTGCGTGAGCAGAACATCTTCTTGGGAAGTATGACGGACGCCTTTGAACGGTCTGAGGGTCTACTTAGATCAACAATGTCACGCCTTGGAGGCCTTAGACGTCACGGGGCTCTCCTAAGCACTGGGCTTTACTGTTACATTATTTTGTTTGTCTTATTTTTTTTCCTTGTTTGTTGGGTTCTTATTAAAATATCTTAGCATAAATTTCTCTTTGTTCATAATCTCAAAATTTATTTTAAATGGAGTTCGGTTTTTGCTTGCCTTGATAGATTGCTCTATTGGTGCTTTAAGTCTGCATGTTCATTGAATTCTTTTGTTGCAGAAGGGTAGGTTATGCCATATCAATATTTTTTTAAAGTCTTCTATGGCTCGCTTGCGATCCCTTTTTTCCTACAATATTGTCGAAATTTTATCGCACTTATTTTTTTTGTCGTATACCAGCCTATCATTCCATAGATTTTTCAGAAAAAGCCCATAACTTGCATTTCTTCATTTTTGTGGGATATATCAGGTGTTGTTGACTTCGCCTTGCTAATTTACAGATTTTATCAGACAAATCCAGTTAATTTGTGTAAATACTGCATATTTGCATCACTTAACGAACCAATACAATTTTAGATTCATTAAGACTTCTTTATTTAACATTGATGCGTTGCGGATTGATTCACTTTTTGTCTTGTTTTGAAGAGCTTCGGACTGACTATATTTCATGCGACTTATTTGTGTTATATGTTCCAATTTAATTGGATTCTCCACTCACTACATTGTGATTCAATATTTTTACTGAACAGCCTTAAATTTTCGTCTTAGAGTAGACATAAAGTGTAATAAATAATATAGTAGATATGAAAACAAAGCTGGTGTGATTTGGTAGTAGTCTCCTTTAGCTTTATAGTGTTCGTTCGACCTTATTTTCGCACCTCGGTCGGAGCGTCAGGGAGACCTTGTAGAACGTACCTAGTATCGTGTCCTCTACCATAGTATTCGTGCTTTCCATCATTGGACCATTGGCTGGGTACATTCCCAAACGTTTCGCCAGCATCGTCAGTGAGAGGCGCCATCATAGACACAGAGTTACAACTTATCCAAGTGGCAAAATAAGGCAATATTCTTGACCAATTTTCTGTTTAGCCGTTGTGGCCTCACTCCTCGCCCTACCTAGTGCCTCATCTTTTTCTCTCAACCCCATTTCATATGACCCGTTCATTTATTCACACAATTCTG